TCTCTCCTGATACCACGTGCATGCTTCCATTTTAGGAACTCCAACATTATTACACTTGTATTCCCCCAAAAGCAGAACCCTGAGACAATAATTCACATTTAAATAGTTTATTTGGGATGTGCATGGAACACTGGCAGGGAGTGGGGAAGAGATACGGGAAAGAGAAATCAGACAAAAGGAGTGTGTAATTAATCGCAGTGGCCCAGGGGATCTTAGGTCCTACAGGAGAACTTTCAGGAACTGTCACAAAACACCCATCTCAGAATAAAAGCACCTGAGGAGGGAAGGGGTGGGAGGAGAGATATATTTATACACCAACACCTGTTACTCATTGGCTAAGAGAGTCTGGAAGGTGCTAACTCTCAGATTTGTGGGGATTACTGCTCCTGAGGCAGAGCCAATTGTGTGGTTCTGAAACAAGCAAACAGGCGCAGAGATGCAGCATTATGGCTAGGGGCAAGGGTTAGACCATATGCTGGGAAACAACAGAAGGATATCTGGAAAATTCCTACATACTTGGCAGTTAAACTGACTATTAAATGGGCTCATGGATTAAAGATGATATCACAAGGAAAATTAGAAAATTTTTTTAACTAAATAAAAATGAGTTAAAATTGCTATTATGCAGCTAAAGTAGCACTTAGGAGGAAATTCATAGCTTTAAGTGTATATATCAGAAGAGAATGTTAACATTACTGTAAGCTTCTACTCACCATTAAAAGTATAGATTAAACCCCCTGGAATTCCAAGCTTGCAGGCATGCCAAGCAGAGATATAATGGAGATCACCTTGCCTGCAACTTTTAAGTCTTCATGGCAGCCAAAATGTCATTGCGTATCTCTAAGTATGATTTATCATCTTGGCTGGGGATGGGGTAGTTGTTTCAGAAATAGTCAATTGGTTTTTTTCTGTATAATAGTTCTCACCCCATAGGCAAGGAACCAGTGTGGGGTTTTGCCACTTACCAAGTATGACTATTTCAGTTATATATTTGGTTACCAGAAAAATAACTGCCACATGGGTCCACAACCCAGAGAACCTACTTTGGGCCTGACCTGGGCTAGGCCTCTGCTTTATTATTTGGTCTCCATATACTGCCATTCAAACTGTGAGACTATGATGATGCTTAGGGCTTCCAGATATCATTGTCAACTTGAGCCCTACACCCAAAAGTCTTCTTAAAGTACATTTACCCAAGTAAATAGCTGTAGATCCCCTGGGAAAGAAGTGTGGGGACCATAACTGTATGCTTGTCGTGATATTGATGGGTCTTTCCTCCTGGGGACTCCGCCTTTCTTTCAGTCAATAGGTTCTGGTATGAAAAATGGTTCAGGTCTAGACACAAGGTAAGGTATCGTTGATGACTTCCTTAGCATGCTGATGTTTGATTTATTTTGATGGAACAGATTGAGTACAACCTTGACTACTTAGTTTGCACTTAGAAACACAACATCCTATTCGTCATCTCTGTAACTCATTTGTAACCCAGGCACTCCTGGATGCTTCTCTAATGTTACCACTCGTTAGGCTCATTGCATTCACTTGTCTTATGATTATTCATTGTCCTCATCTGGCGGCTGTTGTTTCGGTTCCTATCATGCTTGTTGACTTCAGTGAGCTCAGGTCTAGAACGGCCTCTGCTACCATCAGCCTTGCCCTAGAGAGGAGAGCCACTGTTGAACTTTTTTGCAAGGCTGGCATCCTCCTTTCCTGTGCGTTTATTGCCTTGGCGGAAAATCAACAGGGGCCGCACAAGAAGACCCGGTCAGATCTGGAGTTTCTGGGTTTCAGCTGCTGCCCTGTGCCGAGGTGAGCCCACAGATGAGAGACACAGGTCTCCTATTCCTCTCCCTTTTTATTTATTTTTAAAAACCTGTCATGTCCCCTCTTTTCCTTTCAACCTGGAAGGAATTTCATTTCTGATTTCCTCAGAGAATCCTAGAAAAGCATAGGTAACAGCGGCCTCACTTTGTCCTGGTTATTGGATGGAACCCCCACTATCTATCCCTGTGGTTTCCATCACCTGAGGGCATGTGATATTAAGTGAAATATGCTTATGAGCATGTCTTTTTATGTCTTAAAAATATGGGGAAATCACATTTCGTTAGAGGACTTGCTTAGGGCCAGAAGCAGTACCATCCCCATTTCTCTTAGGTCTACAGTGAAACTGGCCTGTTTTCATGGTCAAACCCACTACAGAAAATCCAGGAACGTAGAAGAAGACAAGTGGTAATTTAGTGTCATTAGTTTGCGTAATACTACACATAGATGGTGACTGTCCTCAATTTTTTCCAGGGGAGCTATCTCAGTGCTTTTCTACACACGGTTCCTTGGGAGGCATCCCATATTTCTAACCAATGAAATACTGTGGATCATAAAATGCCTCAAGAGTGTTTCTCTGTTATGCATACTAAGGAAAAACAAGGAAAATGACTAATGGCACGGACTGTGAATAAGATATGCTGTTTCTTACTACTCTCTCTCTCTTCCTATGATAAATACAAGAACCGCTTTAAGAATTTAAATAGCTATATTCTTAGACTCTTCACTGAAATATTAGAATTTTAAAACTGTTGCTGATTCAATATGTTTTAAATATGAAACAGAATCTTTAACACATTAGATTTAAATCCTTAAGCCAATGAATTGAGGGTGATTGTGAGGGATAATTAGGTTTCAAAATTGTTTTTTCAATTAAAAAAATCACTGCCCAGAAGAAATTCTTAGGAGATGAATTGAATTAACTCAGTTCTTGCAAGGCAACCCCTTTCTACTGCCCTCGTGAATGACCTCAGCTTGGTAGAACTTGTCCACCTGTTCTCTGTATCGGTCACAGGACTCAACTTCAGCTTATGAAACTGGCCAGGTTGCTTTGATAGGAGACCAGGTTTCATTCCTGCCTCTGTGCCAGCTGGCCCCTAATTTCCTATCCCTCTGCCTTGAGTTCTAGAGGCAAGTTCCAGCTCTTGGATCAGACGAAGGCGTCTGCTCTGCTGGGATGAACTTCCTTCATTGTAGCACCTTCCTTTACATATACCTTGACATCTACATGGAGTGAAGGTGGACCAGCCTTGCTGCTTGGAGTCTGGGCAGTCCATTTCATCATTAGGATGCTTTAGGCTCCAGTGAAATAAACCGGAATTTAAACCGAGGTAAACCCAGGCACACGTTAATTCGTAAGGGAAGACCCTGGAGGAGAACAGACTCCAGGCTACCTAATCGGCCAGTTCCACCAGCTCTTTAACAACCAAGGTTCTTTTCTTCCCTCTTTTCTGCCCTCTTTGGCAAAGTCTCCATCTTCAGGCTGGTACCAAGTTGCTGACAGCAACTCCAGGTAAAACCAGAGCCCACAGATGAAGAGAATCACTTCCTGTTTGGTTCTCAGAAAAGAGGGAGAAACCTGTTTTTGTATGTTGGTTTTTTTTCCTCAAAGTGCTATCCACCCCGTGCCCTTCGGCCATCAGACTCCCCCTCGGATGATATTGGTCAGAATGAAGTCACATTTCCACCCATTTGCACTCTCTGCAAAGCGGAATGTTGATGACCGTTTGCTCAGTCACCCCTTGGGTGGGAAGAGGTCCAGTCCTATGAAAGGCATGGTGACGCATGGGAGGGTGGTTTCCTCAACAGCATTTGGGTTTATTAAGAGTGAAGGAGGGAGAATAGACGCTGAAGCCCCCTGCTGAGCCTGCCTGTCCCTGTGGACCACCAACCGTGTCGTGCACGGGAGAAACCTGGGCTGTGGAAGCAGCCAGATCTGGATTCAAGCTCTGATGGAACCTTGGTCTCTCCAGCTGACCTTGGCCAAATTATTTAACTTTTATGAGGCACAGAGGTTTTTTTAAAAATATGGCACAGGGGTTCTATCCTCTTTTAAGTGGCTATAAGTGCCTTTCAGGGTTATGGAGATGACTGCATAAAAATAACAACAACCATAAAAGGAAAAAGGTTTATAGAATTCTGGTCTTAGTAAGTTCTCAATTTAGTTTTTTCCCCTTCCATTTCATTAACCCTGTCATCTCCCATCCCTGGCAAAATCACTTCGAATTTGAGAAATTATGCTTATTGCTTTGCTGACAAAGAGTTTGCTCGAGAAACATGGTATCAAAGTTTTTCCAAACTGACTACATAGTTTCCTACTTTACTTCCTTTCTACTGAGAATGTAAGTGTTTATTGAGCTGGAGTGTTCACAAATTTTTATTTATAAAATGAAATAGTAATGACTGCATAACCTGCCCAGCACAAAGACAGTGACATGAGAAAACTGTAAATTATGCAATGGGTGATGTACTAGACAATAAGATGTGTGCTGACTTGTCAGAAAACCCGAAACAGGTAGAAAACAACCCTACTGCCCTGAAATCCCATCTGACCTAGTTTCAAACAATGTTTTGAATCAAATCTGGTCACGGGCCAATAATGTCCAAGTTAGAATTGAGTGATAGCTTTACAGTAAAATCCCACACCAGTGCATCATTGCAAATGAATGGATTGGTGCTTTTAAAAATATGTGGATTCTCTTCTGTTGAGTTCGGCTTCATTAGGCAGAAGGGTGTCATATGTAATGAGTTATGAGGGCAGATTTAGGAGAGAACATCGACGCAAGATTGAGAGCTGTATTACTGATGTTGGTGGGTTCACCAACTCTTCATTTAAAATTTGCGGGTAAATGTGTTTTGAGAGTGTTACTTCCCCTCCTTTCTCAGTGTATGAATTTCGCCTTTTCACTCCAGGTTAGCCAAACACAGAAAAAGGAAATTGGACTTTCCCCTTTTCCTGCTTTAGAGCGCCTGGGATTAGACTATGGAGAGGGATGCTTTTCCCCGAGAGGCCCCTGCAGGGGGCAGCCTATGAGAACTGTCATGGGTCCTTGAAGCCACCTCCTCAATCGTGCCGGAAGCAGATGCCTCTGGCAAAGAGCTTTGCCTTCTGGGCCTGGGACGTTCTCTAGGCGTGGCCTCACATGCTCTGCTTGCAACTTCCGGCTCTGTCTACTTACTCCAGCTTTTGTCCTGATCCTTCTCTCTGCAGAGCCCTTTCTGACCAACAACTATGCTGATATTCAGTTTGGCTTTCAGTCTCTGGCTCTCGACGATACCAGCATTCAGGTGCTGCATTGTGGGTTGGAGGGAGAGCCTTGCAAAGATAAACTACCTCTATCCTCCTCCAGGTTCCCCAGTCTGGATGCTGCTCCAGTGTCCCATGGTTGGGCATAGCTAAATCATAACAAATCATGGATATGATGTTAAATCCAGGTTCTAGTTCCACTTCTGCCATTTTCTGTGTGGTCTTGGAGTCACACCTCTTCCATCAGCCTAGACTTCCTCGTCTGTAAAGTATGAATGACTTGATTTCCCTTACAAAGTCTTTACACAGCTTTGTAAATATTTCCTTATTAATCTTCCAAAGTGGTATGAAATTAGAATGTATTACTTGACTTTTAAAATAAGGACAAAGTCATACCTAAACACTTTCACAAATACTTTCTTATTATCTTACAAGATAGGGATGAATGCTTGAAAATCTGGATATTAAAATTATATTGTGAGTATTAATGTCCTTATTGCTTGAAATATCCATGTTTTTTTAAAAAACCTGTATCAGCATTTACTATTTGCTGATATTTCTCTGTGTGAATGAACAGAGTGTGAAAGAAAAAATATTCTAACTTATAGTTTGTTAATGGATCAGTAATTTGTGATCTGAAAGTAAGACACATAAAGGCAATAGCCTCCCATAGGCTTGTGTTACACAAGACCACTTTGTTTTGTCTGTGAGAGGCAGTCATTTCTGTTCAGGAGATACAGATGATGCTGTTCCGAGCTCATAGAAGATTTCCAGTATATATAGTAGCATTTCTGGAGCATCTCATGGAGGAATTATTTTTTTTTTTTAGTTGCGATCCTTCCACCTCAGCCTTCCAAGTAGCCGGAACCACAGATGTGTGCTACCACACCCAGCTTATTTTTTGATTTATTGTAGAGATGAGGTCATACCAAATTGCCCAGGCTGGTCTTGAACCCCCGGGCTTAGGCAATGCTCTTGCCTCAGCCTCCAAAGTGCTGGGATTACAGGTTGAGCCACTGTGCCCCATCAGGAATTAATTTTTTAAGCCATTGATTTAATCATTTGACCTATATTTACGAGTGCCTACACGTCTGGAACTTCAGTGACAAAGACATGGATCCTGCCTTTGAGGGGTTCAGCCAGAAAATTAAAGTAGCGTATTCTAAGATAGGAGGGTGCATGTATTAGCTAGATTTCTGGCGAGTGACAATGATAGAAAGGGAAGAAGCTTCAAAAATGGCATCCACGCGGGTATTCACTCGGGCATGAAGCATGAAAATCTGGTACAGGTACGGAGAAAAGGAAATGCTTCTACACTGTTGGTTCAACCTCAATGGAAAGCAGCGTGGCAATTCCTAAAAGAGTTAAAAATTGACCTGTACAATCCAGCAGTCTCTCTCCTGGGAATAAACCCAGAGGAAGATAAATTGTTCTACCAAAAAGACACCTGCACATGCATGTTTATTGTAGCACTATTCACCATAGCAAAAACATGGAACCAACCCTACTGCCCATTGGAAGTGAACCAGATATAGAAAATGGGGTGCATATACATGATGGAGTATTATGCAGACATAAGGAAGGACAAAATCATGGCCTTTGCAGCAAATTGCATGGAGTTGGAGACCATCACACAACATGAACTATCACAGAAACAAAGAACTGAATACTGCATGTTCTCACTTATAAGTGGGCCCTAAGTATTAATCATGTTAGCACAAGGGAGGGATCGGCAGCCGCTGGGCACTGCTAGGGGAGGAAGAAGGGTAGGGGCACGTGACAATACAAAGTGTACCTGGTTCATTACCAGAGGAAGTGAGGGACAGTTAGAAGCCTAAACTTCGCCTGCAGGCAGCCTACTTATATTTAGTTAATCCTCACCTGTACCCCACATGTTCATACTAAAATACATTGTTTTAAAAAAGAAAAGTCTTTCATCATGCAAAAACAACCACCACCACCACAAACAAAAGAATCTGGAAGTTATTTTAGACTTAGGTTTTTTGAAGTCATGTTGAAGATGTCTGAGCTGAGGAATCAATCAGGTTATACTAGAGATAGAGTCAGAGTTGTACGGGACACTGGCTTGCCTTTTGATTGACAGCAAGTTTATGACCCAAGAATTCGAAAACCACTTTAATTTCATACCACATGCATAGGTATATTTCCGAACTCTCTCTGAAATTGCACTAATCTATTCTTATCGAGTACAGAGAGATAGTGTAGCTTAATGGTTAAGGGTGTGACCTCTGTAGCTGGACACCCTGGATTTCATCCTTGACTTTGTCTTTCAAAACTGTGAGTTGGAGCAAGTAGCTTAGCCTTTCTGTGCTTCAGTTTTTCACATATAAACACCTTAAGCAACACATTTATTATCTCACAGTTTCGATGGGTCAGGAATCTGGGCACAGCTTAGCTTGTTTTTTGTTTTTGTTTTGCTTGGATCACACATGGCTGAAATCAAGGGCCCGACCAAGCTACATTCTCATCTGGTGATTGGACTGGGGAAGGTTTGTTTCCAAGCATATTCAGGTTATTGACAGGATTCCTTTGTATTCTACTGACACAATGTCCCTTCCTCAGATGAGGACCTGTGATTCTATTGGGCCCACCTGGATAATCCCTATTCTGAGATGCTCAACTGAGTCACATCTACAAACCCCCTTTCACCATGTGAGGTAACATATTCACAGGTTCTAAGCATTAGGGCATAGACAGCTTTGGGGGGCCAGAAGGTGGGACCGCAGGAAGCAGTGTCCAGTGAGGTAGACAAGAGAACAGAGGACGTGTGTTCCAGAGCCAGGTGAAGACATTGCTTCAAGGAGAGAGAGATTTCCCTCTGGGAAATATCACTCATGGATCCAGAATGATGAAGAGGAGAATTGACAGTTAACTCTGCCCTGATAGAAATCAGTACTGATAATGACAGGAGCCATTTTAGTAGAACTGATTTGGGAGCCTCAGAAGACAATGGACCAGGCCAACCTCACAGAGGTGTGACCTGGACCGTCGCACAAGGCCCTGTGCTTAGAAGAGCCTGCGCTTAGATGGGTGCTAAGCTGTCACTGTCCTGAAACTCATAATTTTCAACAAGGGGCCTCAGATTTTTAATTTGCACTGAAAATCTTGCAGCCAATCTTGCCATGGAAGGGCAGGAATTGGAGACTGTTGATGACCCTTTCAAGGAATTTTATATAAATGAGATCAGAAAATGGAGCCAGAAGAGGAAGTGGAGTCAAGGGAGGGTTTTGAAGTTTAAGATGGCTGCTTTCTAGCCTGGAGCTTACATGTAATTATAGAGAGTCATGGTGACCGGGACCCAGATGTCTGGCATGTGACTTTGGCTGATCTCACCGCCTGACTTTGCTGGCCCCGTGCCTAGAAAAGCCCGCATTTAGAGGGATGCCTCCTTGTGTAGGAGGGAATGCCTCTTTTCCCTGGACCCACCTCCATTATTTTTCTGGTAGGTTGGTGTTGTCATGCACAAAGCGTCAACATCCTTATAAAGTCAAACTCCAACATATCTTTGTCATCTACCAAACTTCTGTCACTCTGAACTCTGAATTGGCAGAAGAGATTAATTTTCTGGGCTTTGTTCTTCACCGAGCCATGTTCTTTTAGAAACATTTGCAGATTGATTTTATCATGATTTGCTCAAGCGTTTTCCCAGGCATACCAGTAAAGCCGACTCAGGCTCAGAATCATTCACTGCTGTCCTCAGGAAAGGCACCCTGTTGGCATCTGTCCAAGCTGCAGGCGTTGCGTCATCATCATAGTCACTGGAAATGGATTTCACCATGAAGGGCCGCTCACCACACTTAACAGTCATCCAAAGAGCTGTGAGAAGCAGTCAAACACACCAACCCCTTACTCCCACCAGGTAAGTAAAACACGTACACACACACACACACACACACACACACACCCCCCCCCCATGGTGCCATGAAGTAATCTAATTTTGACATTATATATTAGAAACTTTCAGAAATCCCTAAGATGAATGCTTTTGAAACTATTAACTGGAAAAGAAAAACCTGCCCGTCTTTCCAAGCATCTTTTTTTTTTGAGTCGCCCAGACTGGAGTGCAATGGCATGCTCCCGGCCACCGCAGCCTCGATCTGCTGGGCTCCAGCAGTCCTTCTGCCTCAGCCTTCCAAGTAGCTGGAACTATAGGCGTGCACTACCACGCCCGGCTAACTTTTAAAACTTTATTGTAGAGATGAAAGCCTCTTTAACACTTATGTACAGTTGTTCAACTTATTGGGAACAATTACTTTTTTGTGTTACAGATTCAACTTTGTATAAAGGGATAATTAATCTTCAGCACTTTCCCTATTAGTAGTGACAATAACCTTTAGATACAATGGTGTTATCTCATAGCGAAAATTTGAAATTTATGCAGGACTCCCCCCTTTCTTCCCTCCTTAATTGACAGCACTCACCACAGTGGCTCCTCTCTGTACTTACTCAGTAAAGTACCTGAGGGTCGGAGGTACTAAGGGAAGATGGATCAAAGAATGGACAGGTGGTTGGAGGAACAGGTCTCAGGAAAATTGAAACAGACTTTGACTCACTCAGTTGTTGCATGCCAATTAGGTATAGTAATACAAGGTGAGGAAATATACTTCTTGGAATCAAGTTGTTTGTATTTTCATTAGGGAGGCACATACGTGAACAGAAAACGATATCATATCATGAGACGTGACGTGCGACCAAAGCCTGAGACCTTGGGGCCCTTCCTTTCTTCTCAGGTTTCCTGCATCTTGAGTCTTCTCATGGTGCTCAGACTTCTCCCTGGGTTTAACTTTTCTCTATCTTTTTCTTCCTCCTTACTCTTCCATCAATGCTCACCTGTATCTGTTTTATTCTTTCAAAATCTGACTCTTTAAATGGATCAAAAGTCACTCAATATGTTAGCAAGTGAATAGTTTACCCCACCCAGACAGCATAGTAAGGACATTTAATTATGAATTTTAATATATATTTTCCCCTTCTGCTTTTCTTTAAAAATAAGCTTTGCTAGTGACAGCTCCCGTTTGGTAGGCAAGCATAGCCCACTAAAAAAAATTACAGTCAGCCAGAGCCAATTCATATCTGCCTTGGAGGCATACGTACTTTGTATGACTCCCTTGGTTTATGTAAGATTTGAAAGTTTCAAGAGTATTTTCAGGTACATTTCATTATGTTGTATTTACAGCCACTTTTGTTCTTCTCATTTTACAGATGAGGAAACCGGGGACCAGGCCAGAGTCACACAGGCAGTGAACGACAGAACCTCAGTTGGCATCTACTTGTGATTTTTAAACCCCGTGTTCCTTTCAAGACATTTTTGCTGCCTCTCTAATTCCAAAGCCACGTTTCTAAAAGTGCTCAGGCATGTATTTGATCTTGAAGAAACGAAGGAAGGTGGAGGGAGGGAAGAAAGGAAGGAGGGAGGGAAGAAATGTAAGAATTACTATTAAGGTGGAAGTTGGCAGGGCGAAGTGGCTCATGCCTGTTATCCCAGTACTTTGGGAGGCCAAGACAGGAGAATTGCTTGAGCCCAGGAGTCCGAGGTCAGCCTGGGCAACATAGCAAAATCTTGTTTCTACCAAAAAAAAAAAAGAAAAAAATTTAGCCGGGCATGGTGGTGTGCACCTGTAGTCCCAGCCACTTGGGAGGCTGGGGTGAAAGAATTGCCTGAGCCCGGGAGGTGAAGGCTGTGGTGAGCCATGATTCAGCCACTGCACTCCAGCGTGGGTCACAGAGTGAGACCCTGACTCAAACAAACAAAACAAAAAAAGATGGGGGTTGAGTCAAGAGACGGAAGATGCCTATGTCAAACGTGGTACCCAAGAGGAATGAACTATAACTTTCTTTCATATTTCATATTCATATTGCTCTTTGCAGCAGCAAGTGAAAAGTAAGATAATCCCGTGTATTAAAATGAATGATTAAGTACAGAATTTCCTTGCCATAGAGAAGCTTGTATTAATATATCAGAAAAGCATGAGCTGGAGAGGCAGCTGAAGTTTCCTAAGTCTGAGCTCTCTACAGCAGCCTGGCATATTTTGCAGGTGATTAACTAGGTAATGTCTGTACGTAAGATTCACTCTATGCTCTTTGATGATCTTTGATCAGTGTAGAGTAGCTTTAGCTCTGAATGATAAAATTAACTGAAAGAAGATTTGATATATTATTCATATCTAGAAAAGGAACAGATCAGAGGTAGAAAAGTTCAGTGATTTGTGTACTAATCTATAAGGCAGTTATTTGTGATCAAACTAGCCCACACTAATATTTCTTCTTTCTTGTTTTCCTTATTAATTATTGAACCTACCTTTTAAATTTCAGCATTCTGTTTGTAGTTTCTTATATTAATTTTATGTCCTTTCTAGATCTTTATCTTAATGTCAATGATATGTCAGTGTATTCATTTTTATGAGTGCCTGATCATACCCAGCATAGCTTTACATAAAGAAAGTCAGAAGTACCTTTTTAAATTAAAATAGATTGGAACTTTTTCAGCCTGGGTGACAGAGTGAGACCCCGACTCAAAAAAAGGACAGCTTTGTTCAAGAAAAAAAATTGTATATTTTTGTTTTCTTTCTTTTATAAAGAGACAATTTCAAATAAAGTTATCCACAAGGGTCGTCTTCAGCCCTCTGATCTTATTTCCAAAACACTGCATACAGTAAAGCTTCTTTACACTAATATTGCTCTCCTAACTAATTAAAAACTAGAAAAGGCACTATTGCTAGTTAACTTTCTTTGTTGTTCTTTAATAAAAATATTGACAATTTTAATCTTCTTAAGTCTAAACTTGTCTTGTTTTCTATTCCCTTGAATTTTGTTGAAACATGGTTTTGAAATGATCCTCCCCCCCCAAGTGATTTCTGGTCTTCAAAGTTATGACATGTGGAATGGACATTGCATTTCATAGTGATAAAGAAACTGGAACTAGAAAGTGGTTTGAATTGTTATATTTCCTCTGAAAATAGGTGAGTTATATTTAATCATCTTGCTGATACCTTGAATGTATAGAGGCCATCTGCTTCAGGAGAGTAATGCTTCTTCATTTGAACATTTTCATATGTCCACATATATCTGTGGGAAAAGGAGATTTATCAACTTGGACTTAATTCTAAATTTAATTCTAAATCCAAGTTGATAAATATATAAATATTTTAAGTAGCAACTTGGAACCACCGAAAGGAACAGTTGCGTTTGTCCAAAAAGCATCCGCAATAATGGACTTCGCTATTTATTTTTTCAATATCGTCTTGTCAAATAACTATTTATCAATGCTTTGCTTTCAGGATGTTTTGTTTTTCTGTCCTAGGAGAAAGAAAAATGTTATTCTGTACCACGTGCCTAATAGATGATACACGCAATAAAATGTAAACATTTTTAGCATTTCTCCATTTTAGGTAACATCTTTTTTTAAGACTAGCTTATCTGGCGCGTCGAAGGATATGTTCATTTAAAACAAAGTCAGATTTCCACTCCAAGTAGAAAAACTGGGTCATGAATTTAAAACTTATTAGCTACTAGAACATTTAAAAAACCCAACTTCTGGTGGGTGTTAGCTTAGTGGACTGCAGGTCGAGAGCTGTGGATTTCCATGCCGGTTCTCCAGACTGGTGTCACAGGAGGGCAGCACGGCTTGGTTCCCTGACTTCTTCAAGACTTGGAGCACTTCCTACACTTGCGACCATGGCATCACCGTGTTGCCCTCCGCCTTCTGTTTGCCTGCATTATGAGTAGTCCATTGTGCTTCCGAGGCAGCCCTCCTCCATTCAACCCAAACAACCAGACTACACAGAGAGCATCTTAAGCAAGCCTGGCTGATCAGTTACCGCAAAAACACGATCTCATTAGTGTCTCTGTCTACCCCCTTTAATGTGTTCGGCAGGATGAATTTTGTCCTTGTGTCCGGATGTAATCTCTGTCTCAGACGGGCCCTGTCCTGTTCTGGAACATGAAGGTTGTGTCAGGAACCCTGGGTGAAGAGTCTCAGAGACCAGAGACTGATCTGCCCACCTCACTTGGGCATGCAGCTTCTACTGTATCGTGGCGTCTTGGCGGAAACCCTGGTGTGAACATCTACATAGCTGTCAGGGTTGATCAAGGTGACAAAATATACAGGTCAATGATGAGAACAGAGAGTTTCAGCTTCACGTGAATCATGAAACTGGAGTTTGACTTAGAGATGCCCTCAGTTCTGTCTAGTTCTGCCTTAAATCCCAGGATCTTCTCAGGTCAGGACTCAGGACTCTGTTTTCCCGAATTCCATCCCACTTCTCTGCTGTGGTACAAGACAGTTTAATAGCTGTGTTTTCTGGAACAATCATCTCAATTTTTGTTTTTTTTATTTAAAAAATCTACCTTTCAGTTTTCAGATCCAATATATTCTATGTTCCCAGCTCTTTGGGAAATAAGTCTCACTTGACACGGACTATGTCCCTCAGATTCTTACAGTCTAGTTTGTTTGTTCATTCACAAAACTTTACCAGGTGCTTTATTAACATGTTCATGTATGAGAAAATAGAAAAGAGTGAATGCCCACAAAATATGATATATTTGGCTGATAAAATATTTGGTATAAATGTTAATAGCCGGAAGAGGAGAGAGGAGTGGACTGTAATAGAAATGTCTAATCTAAAACTTTGTAAGTCAATGTAGGGGCCATATGAACGACAAGGTTGGCACCACCTGGGAACTTGTTAGAAATTCTCGCCGGGCCCGGTGGCTCAGACTGTAATCCTGTGCCTTTGGGAGGCTGAGGTGAGTGGATTGCCTGAGCCCGCAGGTTCGGGACCCGCCTGGGCAGCGAGACCTCATCTCTACAATAAATA